ATTGGATTGTGCAGATTTTGACAGTATGGAATGACATGTTAGGTGAATTTTAAAGTTTTAGAGAAAAGAACAGATCATGGAGAAGATAGAAGTTTGGTCAAAATGGCATCTAACAGGGCCCCTGGGTGGCTCGGTTGGTGAAGCATCTGCCTTCGGCTCAGGTCATGGTCTCTGGGTCCTGGAAAGGAGCCCTGCATCAGTCATCCTGCTCAGCGGGGAGTCTGTTTCTCTCTCTCCGTCTGCCCTTTCCCACCACTCATTTTCTCTCTCTCTCTCTTTCTCTCTCAAATAAATAAACTCTTTTTAAAAAAATGACATCTAGAGAACTACACTGTAAGCTTCTTAATAGCTGTGGGGTTTTAGTATGGTGTCTTCCAAAAGCATCTTTTATTTTATCTCCTTTCTTTTTAGGAGGGATATCATCATCAACAACATCAACAAAAAAATGATTGCAACTCACCTTGCTGCAAGGCAGAAATACACCACAGGAAGAAAAAGCCAGAGGCTGAGAACTCAAGAAGAACCACACAGGATGTGGGTCCATGGAAATATGCACAAGGTCAGAGATAGCCCATCTGTTCATGGGCCAGACTTTCATCTTAGTTCAAGTAATGGTTACTAAGCCTTGGGGTTTGTCACTGACTTACCAAAACAAGGCTCACAGGAGATGGAAAACAACATTCTAATTTCTCACTTTGAAAGGATATGTGTTCTTTATTTCTCTTGGCACACCAGCCCATAATTTTCCTCTTTGAATTTTTCTAGAATGTGAGCTTTATACCTCATTGCATAATTATGACTTAGGTTTCGCAGTTTATATACTCGATTTCAGGTACTTTTCAATGATCACATTTCAATGGGGGCAAATTTCTTTTTCTTCTGGAAATATTTGGCCAGATGGAAGTATATACTCACCTTACCTCTGTTATACCTAGTCCTTCCTTTATGACTGTGTGACCAGCTCATACCCATGGCTGAGGATAGAGCTTGAAGGACAGACCCTGGGCCTATTTTTCCATAGATCATTTCTCTTCCACACCAGATATGCCTGCCCAGGTTAGGAGTTAACCTTTGCTCTCTCTTCTTCATAATTCTTAATTCTGTAATTTGGGAACCCTACGGTTAATTTCCAAATTCCATGTGTGAGATTAATTTATCTCGTTTCAGTTTAGGAAGGATATCTTCATCATCACTGAATACTCTTGCTCCCCTCCCATAATGTAGTGTGGTTCTGGGACCATACTTCCCAGCCACTCAGTGACTGTGTTTGTCCAGAAGACTGTGTGTGGAAGTGATATACACCACGTCAAGACAGGGCCTCTCAAAACTTCTGCCTATTTTTCAACCTTTCCTTTTCCATATTTACTGGCTGATTATGTAGACTGTGAGGTACTAGAGAAGGACAAAGTCACGAGATGGGAGGAGTCATATCTGAAAGACCAGGTAGAAGGCTTATAAGCATGGGAGAAATAACCTTCTTTTGTGTTAAGCCAATAAGATTTAAGGATTTATCTGTTTTAAATCCATTAGTTGGTATTGTCTGCCAGGCCTCCAAGAGGCCCCTGGAAGCTCATGTAAATTCAACACTTGGCCATCTCAACTTTGATGTGATAAACCACCTGAAAGGTTAAGTGGATTTCTTCCGACCAGTTCTCTCCTCTGCCTTTGGTATCTCAAAGTCTAGAATTATTTTCATGGGCCCTGTCCAAGCCACTGTTTCTGGACCCCCAGAAACTAAGTTCACAAAGGCTGCCTTGTGATATAGACAGAGAACAAAAGAACTTGATGGTCCTGAAGCTTCTCATTCTCATTAGGATCCCTGCTTCATTTTGGTTACAACCTTTCAGCAATGGGCCACACATCTTAATGAGATACAGTGTTTCTCATCACTGACCAGTGCTGACCAGAACTAATACCAGCTATATTAGTTTTCTATTTTTGCATAACACATTCACATAAATATAGGAATTTAGGTGAACCACTTATTATCTCAGTTTCCTTGGATCAGAAATCCAACATGGGTTTGCTGAGACCTCTGCTGGGAATCTCACCAAGCTGAAATCAGGTGTTGGCTGGCGCTGTGATTCTGATCTGAGGCTCACGGTCCTCTTGCAAGCTCATTGACTATGGACAAAATTCAGTTCCTTGCAGTTTTAAGACTGAAGCTATTGTTTTGTTGCTGGCTGTCAACCAGGATGGCTCTTAGCATCTACAGGTTGCTCAGGGTTCCTTGCCATGGGACCCACAGGAAGATCACAGCATGGATGTTTGCTTTCTTTTAGGCCAACAGAAGTACATCTCCTCAATGATTTACCTTCTTCTAAAGACTACACCTGACAAAGTCAGACAATCCAGGACAATCTCTTTTCAGTAATTCAGACTCAATCAATTCGTAACCAGTCTTGGTCATGATAATCCATTATATTCACTGGTTCCATTTGAGGAGAGGAGATTGTACAGAGTGTACACCAGGGTCAGGAATCATGGGAGCCATCCTAGAATTCAGCTTACCACACCACCCAGTCCTCCTTTCCATTCCTTATTATAAGTTGCAATATAATCATGTACATCTTTGTATCTTTCTCCTTGTTGTATTGCTAATCCCTGCATAGTACCTGTAAAATAGTAGCCACTTGGGATTTTTTGTTAACTTAATTTAGTCCTTTGGTTGCCTTGATTGAATGTGGAAAATCCCCTTATTACCCACATGTTTACAAATTAGTCTCCTTTGTTGTATGTTCATGTTTGTGAAATCCAGTTGTAGTTTTTCTCTTGTCACTACTCTGAACCTCTGAGCATGAATTGTATTTAAGGATACTGGCCTCCTGGGCAAATTGCTCCACTGGCGTTTCAGATAGGGTCCCCACAGGAAATAGATGGCAGCACAAATTGGGATAGTTCAAAGAGGGTTTCATAAAGATACTGCGTATGCAGATGTCAGCAGGGTAGGAGACCACAAGAGAGAGCTGGGTAGCAGTTGGAGCTGTTGTAAACTCTCGGCCCCAAGGGACATAGAACAGGAGAAGCTCTGCTATAAGCAAGGACAGTGTTGTGGCCCCTAAATGGTGGCCCCTAAAAAGATATTTCCAAGTCCTAACCCCTAGAACCTGTGAATATGACCTTATTTGACAAAAAGGTCGTTGTGGATACAATTAAGGATCTTGAGATGAAAGCATCTTGGTTTTAAGGTGGGCTCTAAATCCAGGGACAGGAAACCTTATGAGAAAGTCTGAGGAAGATTTGAGCCACAGAAGCACATAAAAGAGAAGACAATGTGAAGATGGAAGGAGAGATTAGAGTATGTATCTACAAGCCAAGGAATGCCAGGGACTGCCAGCAGTCATCAGAAGCTAGGGGAGAAATACGGGACAGATTCTCCCGAGAGCTTCTAGAAGGAATCAACACCTTGATTTTGGACTTCTGGCATCCAGAACTGTGAGGAATTAGATTTCTGTTTTAAGCTACCTTATAAGTTTGTGGTCATTTTTTACGGTAGCCAGAGAAACTGATATTGATGGTGTCCTGGTGGCAGGGTACTGCCAGCCTGAGGTGACCCCAGAAGCAGGAGCTAAAAGAATAAACACCTTAATCTCACTCTTATCCATCATCCTCCTGGGGTTCATCATTGGCCAAAGGTTGCCTGAAGCCAGAGGTTAAGGAGCTCAGTGATATGCTACAGACCAGGGCAGTCTGCTGGGAGAGGGAACAGGATGGAGGTGAAAGGTGGATTTGGAGGGACAAACTGAAGACATACAGCACATCTCTCTTTAGGGTATAGGGAGGGTACCCATAAATCCTGGTGTGTCTGTAGCAGTTTGGTTTTTACCAGTTGTCCCAGTACAAATATTAATTTTGCCTTTTTTTTCCCTCAAGTATCCAGGTTTGAATGAGAAATTATATAAGGTCACATTAGTTATAGGTTAAAATCTGATTGAATTAGTATTCAAATTGAGAGTTTTCTGTAGGATATGTTAAGTGACGTTCACCACACCATTAGGATACCATCTCTCCTGATTGCCTTGTGGTCCTGACCATTCTTGGCGGGTGTAAGGAGAAAAATTAAGACCTTCTGAGGTCAACAAGAACATACCTGTCTCCAGAATCTGAATCATAACCACCCCACATTTTTTGGAGTTAGCTTTTTTCACTTCCTCTTGGAGATCTAGATGTCCTGACACCAATGTCAGGACATCCAGATCTCCCCTGTTCTTTTTAATTCCTGTATAGTGCTCCATAAATTATTTAATAATTTCACTACTGGTGAAAGTTTATTAAAGTTCTTGATAGAAAAAAAAAAATGCTTCAGTGACCATTCTTGTATATGCTCTTTATATAGTTGTATGAGTATTTCTAGACTAGATGCTATATCAGAGTTCCTAGCTACAGACAGTAAGAATCTATTCTGTCAAGTTTAAGAGGAGGAATCTATTTAAATAGATAAGTTAGTTCACAAAATTGGCTTAGGTTGCTCTTTTGGGCACTAACCCCAGTACTGTGGGACAGAACCAGTATAATGATGAACATAGTTTCCTATCTTTGCCACTACTCTTCTACAGAACAGAAACCCCATGCACAGCCAATTTCCTTACATTGCTCACTTGTGCATTCGAGTCTCAAGTAGGTGTGTCTAACTGGTCACATACCTGTACCCTAGCTAGCCACAAGTGAGTACAGAGATTAAATAAAAAAATCTACCAAAAGGCAGGCCTGATAATGTGGAAATTGTCCAAAATGTTGGGAGGCTCTTTCAAAGATGGCGTTAGGCTTATATGACAGATGTCCACTGCAGACAGCAAGAAATGGAATTGTTTGCTTGGCACACTCTGCCAAACTGACTTCAAGGAAATGTAGACAGTGTATGATAATTCCCTAGATTTCTTTCCCTACATCTTCTCCAGCAATAGGTAGGATTATTTCTTTAATACTTTGGATGATTTTGGACAACTTGACAGTGAAAAAAAGATCCTACCTTTTAAAAATCTGATTTCTCTTAAAATTGGTTAGACATGTGACGTCAACAATAGCAGGAGCACGTAGAAGGTCAAGGCCAGGGAACCTTTTTCTAGAAGCACACACCTCTGAGGCAGCAAGGTCTTGCTCATGACATCTAAACAGCCATTGAGGGTGAGGATGAACATGGTGAGGTCCTGCCACTCTTTGGGATACAGAAATCTCGATGCATTCTTGTCCATGAGTACCATCACATCATCAAGACAAGACCACATAAACAGCTAAGATGGAACCAGTCAACATTTTCAGCAAACCTCCATAGGATATTTTCCACAGCCTGGCCTATATTCCTTTATTCTTGGGGGGGGGGGGGGGGGTGCATGAAGGATAGAGGAATGAGTCATTGACTATCATGGTCTTAAAGACCACTGTGGCCTGATACAGTCCATAAGAGAAAAGATCTAGCCCTAGGTAGAAATGACATACGAACTTTCTCATGAAATTACAGGTCTGTCCTACTACAGACTGAAGACCAAAACTCAGGATCTCTCTTCTCTCCTCTCCATTGAGGGCCCTTCAAGTTTTGGACTGCATATTCAGAGCTAACTTCTACCTACTTTTATCATCTTCTTCTGCCCACTGCTCCCAGAGAGAATGCAAAGTTCGGGACAGGAGCCTATACTTTGGGTGATATGAGTCTCATTGTTCCATTCCATTCTAGTACACTGGGAACAAACTGACGTCTGCCAAAAAAATAAAAAGGAAGGTGAATATTTCCTAGTATGCACCGGTGAGAATGTATGCTCTCATGAGCTCTGTGTTTGGACTTTTGAGATGCTTTTGGTCATACTGTCTCTCTCTCTCGCCCATGGCCTGCTTTCTTCTGCTCCTGTCTAGTGCTTAGAGGAACAGCACTTAGAGGAGTGGTACATGAATTGGAGACTAACCAGAAAAGGCCTGGGCTACTCACAAATATTTGTGCATCTTTTAAGAACCCATACGCATATCTTTGGCCATATATTGAAAGCAACCATATTCTTCCCAGACATGGAAGTTTATAAATTATGATTTACTATGTGTCTAATACATATAGGTAAGAAAAGACCTAAGCATGAGATGATAGCCAGCTGCATTTAAGTCAATGCATGAGGGCAAGAGTCTTCATTTAGAAGGGATGATAGAGAACAAGGTATAGAGAATGTGAGGCAGGCCTTTGGCACACAAGTGGTTCTGGGTTTATTGCAGGAGGTATATGGAATAGGAGTTACTCTGAGAGTGATAGGTGTGTGGAAGAGGAGGAAGTTCATCACTCGAAGTGAAGGATGCTGACATCACAGTTTTCTGCATAATGATTTGTCCTCAGGCTAGAGCAATGCTGTGGGGCAGAGAGGCAACATTTGTATGCTCATAGCACCCCCAGTGGGAAGGAGGAGTGGTTACACCCAGGTCACAGCACAGATTATGAACCCTCATCACCTATCTCCCTTTCCTACCACTACTTAATAAATAACAGGAAAAAATCCAATCTGTCCATGCCTTTGGGGATGAAGGCCATTTCTTAGCAGTGGGAGAGTGAGGATTTGGATGTAAAAGTGCTGTAAAGAGAGAGCTTTACAGGAGGAACTTGACTTCCTTGTTCCATTTTAATTTCAACTTTCCTTTCTTACACAAGCATGGCGTATACTGGCCAGCATTTCACTATATTCATTTCCTTTTCTTCCTTTGGGCATTGATAAACTACATTTCCTACCCTGTCTTGCAGTTAGATGTAGCCTTGCAACTGAGTTCTAGCCAATGGGGTGTAAATGGAAATGATACCAATGACTTCCTGGCCTCACCCATAAAATCCTCCTTCATACTCTTCCATGTTATTTTCCTTCCTCTGGCTTTATACAGAATATCATAGATTACCATATGTTGTTAAGGATGGAGGATCCCTAGGAGGGAAGGAACAGGGTTCCTGGGTTACTCCTCCTAGAGAACTATACATTGTTCAGGAACACTCCTTTTGGACTATAAATAAACAAAGAATGAACTGTTTTTCTTGAGAAATGGAAATTTCACATCTGTTTGCTATTGTAGCTGGAATACCCAAACAAATCCAAAATAAACACATAGCCTTTATAGAAAAAATTTAGAAAAACACATAAGCAAAATGAGAGAAAAATAAGCACCTGCAGTTCCAAACCTGTTGAGAACCACTGTTAACATTTTGCTGTAAAATCCCAGCTTGGGGAGAAAAATGACTGGAAATCGAGAGACCAGGATTCCAGTCCCAGTTTCTCCCTAATTGACTTCTGGCTTCTCTATTAAAAAAAGAAAGAACTCTCGTCTGTGTTCTCTAAATGGAGAGGCGAGGTGGGGGGATCGATGGGGAGGAGGAGGGAGGGAAACACTTGGGGGTTTTGCATAGAAAGGAATGATTTTGTCACCCACAAGTTTTCCTTTTTAAGTGGTCAAACGCCCAGGAAACTTTAAAGAGCTGAATGCTCAGGGAGAGGAGGTACAGAGGGAAGCCAAGAGTATGACATTGTCATAGAGTGGACTAGGGAGGAGAAATCTCTGTGGTTCTTGCCTTGACCTGCCAAATTGTTGAGCTTCTCTGAGAGGAACTGGCCCTCAGTACAGCAAAACCCATTGCTCTACTAAGTATTTACCATCAGCAAAGAGCCAGCGTATGTTCCTGAGTAGCCCAGCTCCACCTTGAATGGACTGCAGGTATCAGAAGAAACTATTTGGGGTCACTAGTAATATTATCTCCACCACCTCAGTGCTGTGGGTTTAATGGACATAGTAGACGTTGAGCAATAAGCAGATACCATTCATCGCTTAGCCGCTGCATTTATCTCCATGTTTGGCCGCTCCTGGCAGATGTGAAGCAGTGGTCAGGGGAGGAGGGAGATGAGCAGCACTGACCCAGCAGCAATGCGAGGTTGGAAGTGGCACGTATGAGGACAAGTAGCTCCACTTAAGGTCCCATCTGGGATGCTCAGGGCCCCTACCTTGGCCAGGCACCAGCACTACGAGTTGTTCATTAAAACATGAACATCCTGATCTCGGGCTTTGAAAATAGGGATCACCCATCCCAAACCAGACACTGCCCACAAGTAGCTGAGAAGGAAGCCAAAGGTGGTGAATGATTAGCAGAACCGGCAGACAGCTCCAGGATCTGTGGACAATGAGTGCCTGGACAGCTGTTTCATGAGGGAAAAACCTCTTGACCACAGGAGCCCCTGGAGGTCCTTCATGTGCTGCCTGTTCCACACTGTTCCACACTGAGACACCCCTCAGACCTGTCCCCCCACCCCCGTTCTCAAGGATCCTCAAGCACAACCATTGACACTTGTCTGGTGTGAAATGCCAAGATGAGCAAGAATGTCCTCAGGAAGCTAGTGAACATGAATTAACTAAATGCTGTGAGATAATCTTATCCTCATAAAGCTTACAATGTAATTAAGTGTGTAGTCCACATAGGCACAGAGAATATACAAATAGATATTAATTACAAAATTAGTTAGAATTAGAGAATGTCATGCTGGGTTGTATATAGAGTGCATTTTAGAAGATTTCATTGATAGGAGTTGTTCATGGGGGAGGTTCAAGTTTAATCAGAATCACCCCTAGATGTGTCCTAGAAAACTGCCAGTAACTCAGGGAATGTTCTAGAGTCAGATTCTTTCAAAAGCCTTTATACCAGTTTTTAAGGAATCCTTCATTTCTCTTACCATTACAAGGCAGATACAGCTAAGAAATGAGGGTAACATAAGGGTTCTAGAGTGGTTGTGTCAATCAAGTGCTTGGCCCACCAGTCTCTACATCAAGGGCACTTAGGGATGCCTGGGTGGCTCAGTCAGTTAAGCATCTGCCTTCAGCTTGGGTCATGATGTCAGAGTCCTGGGTTCAAGTCCCAATCCAAATTGGGCTCCTTGCTCAGCGGGGAGCCTGCTTCTCTCTCTGCCTGCCATTCCTCCTGCTTATGCTTGTGCTCTCTCTGACAAATAAATAAAAAATCTTAAAAAAAAAAATCAGGGGCACTTATAGGAGGAGTAATTCTGGGACAGGACCAGGAAACAGGTGAGGCTGAGAACTTTGACTTCCTCAGTTCCTTTGAACCTGCCTTTCTGACGGAGGAAACCCCTCCCCCTACCTGAGCGAAGTCTTCCTCTGCATGAACACCTTTCAGTGTCTGCACCAGGGAGAGTCCCGTCCAAGGGGATCCCAGTTTCTGTAGGACCCACTTCCAACACACGTAATACCGCCATGTCCATAACAAGACTAGATTTCAGTATAGCCCTGACAAGGATGTACAAGACCTTGTCTGAAGTGGGAGAGGAAACCAATAAACCCAAGGAGTTATAAGGCCTCACCAGTCAGTTTCGGCAAGAGTGTGGGGAGCACGGATGTGAATAAATTCTAAAGATGTTTGACCATGTAAAGTGAGATTGGATCACCGATAGAAACACAACCATAAATATGAGTTTACTTTCCTGAGATTCTGGTATAAATAGTCTGTAAGTTGGCCAGTTGAAAGATAGACTTAATGTTGGCTTACACCCAGTGAAGTTGACATACTGGAATTTCCCTGGCAATTCCAGAGAAGCACTGCCAAAGAGAACTTTCTGTAAAGATCAGAGTCTTCTATAATTTATCCTGTCCAATATGATAACTTCTAGCCCCCGGTGGCTATGGAGTACTTGAAATGTGGCCAGTGCAACTAGGAACCTGAATTTTTCATTTTAATTATTTAAATTTAACTAGCCACATGTGGACAGTAGCTGTTGTGCTGAATGGTACAGTTCTGGTGTAGGAAGCCTGAAGGCTCAGGGGAATGGCAAGGACACTTCCTTTTTTACCTAGGTCCATTCTAGCTGCATCCCACAGGTTTTGAAATATGGAGTGCTCTCGTCACCGTTCACTGTTCAATTTTTACATTTCTATTTTTATTTTCTACTTAATCCAAATGTTATCTAGGAAAGCATCTTTTAATTTTTAAACAAATTGCACTCTTTTTTAATTATCCATTTTATGCTGATTTCTGTTTCTTAAAACTACATTGTTTTGGGCGCCTGGGTGGCTCGGTGGGTTAAGGCCTCTGCCTTCGGCTCGGGTCATGATTTCAGGGTCCTGGGATCAGGTCCCACGTTGGGCTCTCTGCTCGGTTGGGAGCCTGCTTCCCCCTTTCTCTCTCTGCTTGCCCCTCTGCCTACTTGTGATCTCTGTCTGTCAAACAAATAAATAAAATGTTAAAAAAAAAACTACGTTGTTTTTCTTCATAAAGGTCCCATGAGAAGTATTTGAATATTCTATATTCCTATTCATTTTGATATGATATCACTTCTGAGATGGCTGTAGTATAGTTTTTTTTTAAAGGTCATTTATTTTTTTAAAAACATTTTATTTGTTTATTTATTTATTTATTTGAGAGAGCAAGAAAGAGTAGGGGGAGGGGCAGAGGGAGAGGGAGGACCAGACTCCCCACTGAGCAGGGAGCCCAACATGGGGCTCGATCCCAGGACTTCAGGATCATGACCTGAGCTGAAGGCAGAACTTTAATTGACTGAGCCACTCAGATGCCCCTCTATTACGGTTTTTGACTATGACTCTGAATTTGTTCACTCTCTTTCTATTTCTTTCCATTTTTATTTTATGTATATAGCTGCCCAATATTAATACATTAAATATGTAATCATCATGTCTTCTCAGTGAATTGAATATAATAGAAGAAAACACCTATGTCCCTTTTAATTACTAATGACTCTCATCTTTAGTTTTCTTTTGTCTGATATTAGCATTTTAACATCTACTTTCTTTTATTTTTCTAGTATACTTTAATGCCTATGTTTTCAACCCTCCTGTGCTTATTGCTTAAGCTTGTCATATACTTAGCTTAACTTTGTATTTTAACTTGCTCTGGAAAATCTGTGTTACTTCAACAGGGGAATTTAAGATACTCACTCTTACTGTGATCATTGATATATTTGGACTTCTTTTATGGCTCCATGTTCCTTTTTTGGTCCTGACCCCGGTTCCTCCTTCAAAAATATTGCCATCAGAATGAGTAACTTACATTTACTAGATTTAAAATTTCCACTGAAATAAACATGTCTGTTGAAATTGAAGGTTTGGGGACTTGAGATTGGTGACACATTACTGTGTTTCTGTGTTCTCCAACTTTCCTCACTCCTTCAGCTCCTGTTTTATTAAACTTTACAAACAATCCTGTGGAAACTTGGAAACTTGACGTGCCACCAGACATGTCACATAAGGCAAAATTGTCCTTGAGTTCTTTTTTTTAAAAGATTTTATTTATTTATTTGACTGACAGAGATCACAAGTAGGCAGAGAGGCAGGCAGAGAGAGGGGAGGGGAAGCAGGCTCCTTGCTCAGCAGAGAGCCCAATGCGGAGCTTGATCCCAGGACCCTGGGATCATGACCTGAGCCGAAGGCAGAGGCTTTAACCCACTGAGCCACCCAGGCGCCCATGTCCTTGGGGTCTTGTAGCACCAGTAGTTGAACTGACAACCTCTATTCTTTCATTCCTCATAAATGAATTTTTATATATGAAATTTAATAGAAATCAAGGCCTTGCCTCACCAGTATCTCATTCAAAGCCACACTATCGGCTGTACCAGCTCTTGGCTAGAATCTTTCTTGCCTGCTAAGAAAGACTAGAACATTCTAAGATAGCCTAAGAAAAAAAATATAGTGAGGCAGTTAGTAGTCCAGACTCTAGGAGAACTCTGCCATGGTTAGACTCTCTTATTCCATGGTTGGAATTTTATTTATTCCCCATAAGTATAATATGGGGTCAATAATAATATTTCCTCAGGGGGTCACTGTGAAGATTAGAAAAAAGTAATCCATGTAAAAACACTAGGTACAATCCTTGATACACAGTAAGAACTCAGAAAATGGTAGCTGACATTGTTAGCAATTGTCCTAGTCCATACCCATGACTCTAGACAAGACTATTTTCATACAAACTGCTGTTTCCTAATTGCCCTTCCCCTTCCCTGAAGGAGAGCCTCGGAGCTCCTTGAAGACTCACGAAGAGATATGATCTACTTCTCCCGGTATTCTTAGCATTCCCAAAGCTGACTGAAGATATGAGCCCATGAACAGAGGGTTTGGGCTTTAAACAGGTACTACAGGCACTGGCCTTGTACTGGCGACCTCTGTGCTATGTTTACGTTTTGTCTGCGGTTGGTGCATTAAGAAGACCTGGCCTTAATGAAATATTCAGTCCTAGATCTTTTCATGTCCCAAATTAACTTTAATGAGCAAACAGGGAAAGATCAAGAGGCTGCGACTGGGACTTAGGGAAAACTTTGAAGCAGAAGCCAGAATGGGGTAGATGCCCTCTGGAGACGGGCCAGCATTTGCTTTTGATGACAGCGGACCTTCAGATCTTGTTCATTTGAGCTGCAAACAAGGTGCTCTGAGAAATCAGTATACCTGAGATTTCATTTTTTGCAATACCTCTCTGTTGCTCATTCAACAAACATGTGTTGAACACCATCTATGAGCAAGAAAGGTCCTCTAATGCTTTTATTATATGCTTTAGGTAATATCAAGGTGGATGAGGCACTGTCACTGCCCTCAAGGATTCCACGTTGTAGTAGAGGAAATAAGGGGCACACAAATGGCCACATTCTATGTGGGGTTGGGAGGGTGCGAAGACTGTGACATGTCACAAAAGAGGTACAAGACGGCTATATGCAGGGAGGTAGATAGAAGCTGCCCTTTAAGAATGGTAGGATCTGGAAAGGTAGGGGTGAGCAGTGGTCTTTCAGGTGGAGCACACTGTGAGAACTGGCAGGAAAATCCAGGGAATGTTTTGGTTGTAGCAAGTTGTACCTATTCTGTTTCTTCTATCTTTGTGTTCATGAGGAAAATCTCTTAATCAGTTCGAGCCTCAGTTTTCCCAGGGGCTAGTTCTATTTACTCCTCAGAATAATTGCAAAGATTAGATGACTTGTTTTATAATAGGCAAACATGGAGATCATCGTATGTGCTTGAATAATGAGAGTTAATGTCCCTCATGCTTATTTCTGTTTTTCTCTTTTATTCCAGTCCCTAAGCTGGTGAGAAGCATATCCCCAGGAATTTCTACTGGGATATGGAGTTTGGGGGCAAAAAAAAATAGGAGGAGGGAGTTTCAGGTCAATACTAATGTTTAAATAAGGACATTTAGGATTGCCACAGGCAGTCCTCAGCAGAGGCAGTTTTCTCCTATCATAAAAGGGTCCCAGTGTCCTGGATAGAACCAGTCCTAGACTGACTATCCACACTGTTTCTGTCCCATTACAAACTCTTGGCTGGCATGGTCATCTTTTCCACGTGTCCATCACAACCACACCACCAAAAAAACCTCTCCTATCAAAGACTGTTCCTTCACTGCTTCTCCAGGCTTCTGGTTGAAGACTTTCCCAGAAAGGAACTTAAGAATTCATCAGATGATCCAATCCATCAGATAAGCAGAGATGGACTTTGGATTTGTCTCAAGAGTAGTAGACCTCGTTTGGAGATGTATCTTGTCATGTTCCATTTGTGGTATTCAATTCAACAAATGTTAAAACAGGGTCTTACCTGTAACTCATCCTTTTGTCCTGAGTTTCAAAGGCTAATAATAAAACTGTTGGTGGGAAATCCTATTGTCATTCCAAGAGGAATGACAGTGGGCATGCACCCCACTCCCTCTGTGCCACCTCTCACCCAAGTGGAGGTTCTGGAGCTGCTATGCCAGACTTTTGCAGGAAACCCTGGGGTCATGATGCTGCTGGCTTTTCTGTACCAACCAGCTCTAGCTCATCTAAGAAGTTGATGTTGACAAAAGATTGGAAAGTGGGAATTTCTTTACAGAGAATTGTCAGTGTCCTGTGCATTTTCTGAACCATCCTCACTGGCTCGTGGGAGGGATGAAGATCCACTGCCCTTATGTCAAGCCATGGGACAAGGACTCCAGGAGGTGCTGTAAGGAGAGTAGGACTATGTTACCTGGAGGGATGGAGGGCTAAGTCTGACTCTCACCTGGGAGTCCAGCAGCAGGAAGCTTGCATGGGGTTGTTCCTACCTGGTACAGAGTGCTGAGAGCTGGCACAGAGGGAGTGGGGTGCGTGCCCACTGACAGAAGGGCAATGGCGATTGTGTCCCAAGTCTGCGTATAAACCCTGTGGAAGTCAGCAGGACTGGGCTTCTTCAAGGGATCTTTCCCTAGAAGGCCACCTGGAGGGATGAAGGGACCTAAGGGGTTGAAAGGGGGAGTCACAGGTGGTCATGTGATGGCAAGGCATAGCCAGCATTGGGGTAGCCTCAGTGTACAATCTCTGAGGAAGCACCAGAGGTATCTCTAGAAAGAGGATCATGAAGAGGGCGTGGGCAAATACATTAGCCTCATAAGACCACATGCCTTTCCCCAGTCTCCTTTTCTCTTAGCCATCCTGGGACAGATCAGGAAGGGTAGCTAGAGAGCGGACAGAGGTGAAGCGAGGAAGAGCGCGAAGCTGACCACGCACCATCTCAGCCATCCCCACCACCTCTGTGAACTTCTCAGCCCAGAGCAGCCCGAGCTAGAAGATGAGTTTTGAACTGGACAAAAGTTCAGAGTTTAGATAATGCACATGAATTGGGCTAGATTATTTGATGACTGTACCAGACTGAACACTTATAATTGTTTTTGTTTTGTTTTGTTTTGTTTCTGAGTGACTGAGATTTTGGCCCAGGAGCAAAGAGAATTGGTTCCACAGAGCAGGTTTTAGGGGGCCACGGTAGGAAAGAATAAATTGCTTCCAGCTTGCACCTGGATAGGTTGGACTGATTCAACCAACTAGAGTCTATGCTGTAACTGCAACTGTGTTAGGAGCTGTGGGAGTCAAAGGGTGAACACGGCCCAGTACCCGCAGTCTGGGAGCTGCTAAAGAACAGGAACACCTTTAATAAAAGACACACCCTGGGACGCCTGGGTGGCTTCTGCCTTCGGCTAAGGTCAGGATCCCAGGGTCCTGGGATTGAGCCCTAAATCAGGCTCTCTGCTCTGCGGGGAGCCTGCTTCCCCTCTCTCTCTGCCTGCCTCTCTGCCTACTTGTGATCTCTGTCTCTCTGTCAAATAAATAAATAATCTTTAAAGAAAAAAATAAAAGACACACCCTGAAAAGACTGACAGTAGCATTCCAATGGAATAGAGGGAAATGGGAAAGAAATTAGTGGAAGAAGAAAGACAATAAAAAATGAGCATCTATGTATTAGATGCTGGTAAAGGCTGGAGAGAAAAATGAAATGGGGCAAATGAATAGGATATGCCAGGCCTGTGATAGATGGCTGTTTTCAGTGGGATCATCTTTGAAGGCCAATGTGATAGTGGTGACATTCGAGCAGAGATCTGAGTGGTAAGCTGGGGAGTTACATGGATATTTGGGGAGAGACTGGTTAAGACTATGGCAGTTATCCACATGGAGGCTAATAGTTCTGACAACCAGGAGGAGGGGTGAAGATGGTGAGAAGTGGTCAGATTTCTGCATATTTTTTGAAGGTAGTGTCAAAAGGATTGAGAGAGCCATTACATGAGTAATATAAGAGCAAGAAAGGCCCCCAAAATGAAGCCAAGGTTTTCAGTCTGAAAAACTGGGAAGACGAATTTGCATTTTTGTGTGTGTGTTGGCAAACGCTTCAGGAGAAAAAGGATTTGGGGGAAAAGATAAGGAGTTTATCTGGGATACTTTAAGTTTGAGATGCCTGTTTGATATTCAGGTAGTGAGGGCAATTAATTAGAAATGCCTGGAGTTCAGCGAGAGATCAAGACTAAAATATAGATTTGGGTGTAAGGATATACTTCCAGTGTCAGTGGAACAATTGTCAAGAACTCTGAAGGGTATGAATTTTACCTGATTTACAAGCCAGGAAGTCAGCCCACCACAGCCTCATGGATGCTGGCAGAAGACAGGAGCCTCTGGGGTCATAGATAAAGACCCTTATTACGATAATCATGGTAAACAGAGTATCTGCCTTTTCCTTCCCTAGTTCCCTGAGTCTCAGTTCCCCAGGGCAGTGTGGAAGGGCCAGAGATACATGAAATGACAGGAAATGACAGAGATACAGTTGCATGACAGGAACCCCAAGCTGAGGAAACTTGAATCTTTTGTAATGTGCAGTAAGTGTGCTTACCCTTTGCTCTGAGGGGGACAGTAGTTCTGTGTTTGAAATCTGTTTGCTATACAAACAACCTTGAAAACATAGTTCAGAATAAAGCTGGTCACCATCTCTGCTCATGAGTTGTGCCCCAGGTCCCATACAACTTTTACTGTCAAGCATTCACTTTAGTGAAAAAAAATGTAATTAAATTATTTGAGTCTAGACTCTATTTCTACTTTATAAAATATCTTCAGTATAACTTACCAAACATGTAATATTTAATCATTAAGTCAAAAGAACATTGTACTTTGCTTTGTTTAGAATTCTATCCAAGTTAACAATTAGGGAAAAAAAATATATTGCTAACAGCAACACCAGTTATTTGAGCAGCTGTACTTTTGTCAGACTACAATTGTAGCTGACACAATTATAGTGATTTTATGTGTATGTGTATGTGTATATATCCCACCTTTATTTCATAAGGTCAAATACGAAGATTTTTTTGGAATATTATCTAACTTCTCTTAAAACTCATTCATTATGAGATGAGACAATAGTTAGATCCTTGTACAAATACTGCTGAGACATCAATGAAGAAGAGCACTGGAAATTGACCATTGGATTTAGAAGCATAGAAATCATTAGTGACCTTGAAAAGAGCAATTTCAGCGCAGAGGTGGGGACAAGAGTCTGTTTGAAGTTGGTTCAAAAGAGCGTGAGAGGACAGGAGTTGAGACATGAGTATAAACAACTTCTTTGAGAAGGTTTTCTGTAACAGGGAGCAGAGCAATAGGGTGACATGCAGAGCATTTGGCACAATGCCTGGCACATAGAGAGGGCTCAGTACATGTTGGTCAGAAAAGGTCTTGATGACCCATGGGAAGTGCTGAGGAAATGGTTTATTGACTGGGTACTAATAAAAAGACATATAGGTATAGGGGCTGGTGAGGAAGGGCTTCTTGGAGACTTTTCTTTTAAGCTTTAAAAGAAATGATGGAGTTAGGGGAGGTGCATAGAGGTGAGAGGGCGTTTCAGGCACAAGCCGAGGAACCAAGATGGAGAGATGTTGAGGGAAGGGGCAGCCTGTCTGCCAAGCCAGGGAGTTTTGGGGGGCTCCAAACAGGAGGCTTGAAGAGGAGGACCTGGAGACACAGCTGACAGAAGACCTTGAATTCCAGAGGGTGGCATTTATTTTGGGTCTGATGAGTCAGTAGGGAGCCAGAGATCTTGAGCAGTCAGAGATCTGGTGGGAATATAGCATTAATTGTGTTTTCAACTGCGTGCTGTGTTTCTATTCCAAGTGTTGAAGTTGGGCAGGTTACAACTCATGTTCCAGACAATCTAATGAGAAGCACATGTTTTTATGCTCACTCCAACCTTTAGTTTCTTCCCTAGGCTGGGACAATCCTGGGAATAAAATCCTGGGGATAAAGAAATAGAAAATTAATAAATAAATATAATTAATAAAAATATATAAATAAATGAATAGAAAATAGAAATTCACTTTAGGGATTTAAGGAGGGATGGGGAGAAGGGGTCCTCTGAATGAGCACATTTGATGTTGGCTTAAAAAAAGACTGTTTCTGCAGAAAGCCAGGGACTGCTGTCTAGGCTGGCCCTGTTAGCAACTGCCTTGCGTTTCTGAGGCAGGGGTGTGTATGCCTTAATGGCATCTTTCCCATTTCCATGAATCAGAGAGAGGAAGGAGTGACCTTGCTGGTTATTTTAGAGTCAGGGCCATTCATCTTGTCACATATGGTCTTGAGGTTCTCTCCAGATATGGTTGGTGCAGTCCCAGGACACAGGGGAATGAGTGGTGAGGAGGGTTCTAAGAGGCACTGTGGCCCAGGAGCAACCACCAGCCTTTGGTTCTAGCTGGACCTGAGCTTGAATTCCAGTCTTTCACCTCCTGCCTTCGGGACCTTTGGCAAGTCCCTGAACCTTGATTACTTTATCTGTCAAATAGAGATGATGCTAATTGTAAGCATTAGTTGTCACCAGCATTTGCTGATATGAAGAATATTTATTATTGCCATTAGTTTTTAAATTCTGTCCAGTCAATAAATGAGTAAATGGAGAAAAATAGGGGAGAAGCAGAGTGTCAGGCTGGAACATGATGGTTCCACCTAGATAAACCCCTCTACCTCTCAGATTATAGTGTTCTCTTTGGCAATCCTATTTTGTTCACATGGTACAGGTTATAAGGAAAGCTCAAACAGGAGACTGCAGTCATTTCTGAATTTTTTCTTAAAGATTATTAGATTCTGAGTCAATATCCCTTTGGATCCTGGGCTTTTTACATAGAGAGATTGGGCAGGTGCATAGCTATAAGGGAATGAGCAGGCAAATACAATGTAAATAGGGGACTTCGGACTCTCTAAGCATCTTAAACTGTAGTTTTCTATTAGATCATCTACAGCTGGCTGGGATGACTGGGACACCAGAAACGTTTCTACGAGTGTGAGAGCCTGGCTTACCCCACTGCACCGTGGAGAAGTTGCCATGCTGACTACATATGGGCAGCCACAGAAATTCAGCATGGCTGGTCAGGGAGTTGAGTCTGACCCCTCCATCTGGAAGGGAGTTTGAATTATTCTTCAGGTGGAACTTTGAAGGCGAGCCCTAAGAACCAGGAGCCAGAACAGGGCAGCCTCTGTGCCTGTAGAGAGAGGTGGAGAGACAGCCACTCAACAGGGTGTGATATGAAGGGCCTTCCAGAATGTCTTCTGAGCTGCCTCTTCCCTTTCCCTGATCTCCATGAGCCAAAATACCTGAATTCTGCCATTGTATGAAGACCTAGACCTGGGGTCTGGAGCTCCAACCCAGATGATAAATAAATAAATAAATAAATAAATAATCCACCTGGATGCTGGTGCGGGCAGTGAACTTCTGCCAAGCTTCCCAGTCATCCTGGTCAAAGGGGTCTTCGACGGACACCACTGGGTAATCCTTGATGAAGGACTTGTGCAAGTTGGCCAGCTCGTAGGGCATGATGTACCTGCTGGGGTCATTGGGAGACTTAAAGCCCAGGTCATACTTGCCCGACCAGAAGAACTCTGAGGCAGCTATTTCCATGCCATGACCACCTTGTCGGTGTAGCCGGCTGTCCCGACGGCATTCTTCAGCAGCTCCAGAGCTTCTTTGTTCTCCAGGATGTTAGGCGCAAACCTGCCTTCATCCCCCACGTTGGTGGCTCCTTCCCGTATTTCTCCTTGATAACATTCTTCAGGTTGTGGTAGACCTCGGTCCCAATGTGCATGACCTCCCAGAAGCCGGCTGCACCCACAGGCAGGATCGTGAACTCCTGCATGGCCAGCTTGTTGCCGGCGTGGGAGCCACCGTCGGTGATGTTGAAAGCCAGAACCCGCAGGATGACTTCGGCATTGCCCGCCAAGTCGGCAATGTGGCGGTACAGAGGCACCCCCTTCTTGAAGGCCCCCGCCTTGCAGACAGCCAGGAACACACCCAGACTGGTGTTCACATCAAATTTAGATTTATTTTCTGTTCCGTCCATCTCGATCATCAGTCTGTCAATCTTCTCTTGCTCCACGATGTTTAGTGTCTTGCTAATCAGGGCGGGTGCAATAGTTTTATTGATGTGCTCAACAGACTTTGAGACACCTTTTCCCAGGTAGCGGGTCTTGTCATTGTCCCGGAGCTGGAGGGCATCGTAAATACCAGTGGATGCACCACTGGGCACAGCAGCTCTGAAGAGACCTTTGGAAGTGTAGAGGCGAACCTCAACGGTGGGATTCCCACGAGAGTCGAAGATCTCTCTGGCGTGGATCTTGAGAATAGACATGGTAACTTTCTGGCCGCCAGATAGCGCTGCCCGGGAAAGAAGCAGAAGATGCTGCAGGCTCCGAGGACAATTTGTTAAGCCGGAAGGTCTGGCCACTCTGAGTACCATTTTTTTTTTTTTTTAAGTAGACTCTATACCCAGCTTGGGGCCCAAAGTAGGACTTGAATTCATGACCCTGAGATCAGGACCTGAGTCTCTGAGATCCAACACTTAACCAACTGAGGCACTTAGCCGCCCCTAATTAGTTAGCCTTTCTCAACATTAGCTTCCTCATTATCAAAGTAAGGACAATAGTTAGCATTATTATTAGCATAATTTCAGATATTTCTGTGAAGATTAAATGATTAAAAAAAAAACACCAAAACTATAAAGTCTAGAGGTGCCTGGATGGCTCAGTCGGTTAAGTGTTGGACTCTTGATTTCAGCTCAGGTCGTGATCTCAGGGTCGTGGGATTGAGCCCTTCAATGGGTTCAACACTGGGCATGGAACCTGCTTAAAATTTTGTCTCTCTTGCTGCCCCTCCCCTTCTCATGCTCACTCTCTTTCTCTCAAATAAATAAATAAAAATAAAATCTTAAAAAAAAAAAACAAACCCACAAAAGCAATAAAGCCTAACTCAGTGTCTGTCACAGAATACCTCAATAATTGTTAGCAACAAGGACATGTAAGAATGTTACATTGGGGGTGCCTGGGTGGCTCAGTGGGTTAAGCCTCTGCCTTCAGCTCAGGTCATGATCTCAGGGTCCTGGGATCGTATCCCACATCGGGCTCTCTGCTCAGCAGGGAGCCTGCTTTCCCCTTTCTCTCTGCCTGCCTGCTTCTCTGTGTACTTGTGATCTCTCTGTAGATAAATAAATAAAATCTTTAAAAAAAAAAAAAAAGAATGTTACATTGGGATAATAACGTTTTTAGAAAATGCTTTTCCAAGCATTATCACTTTCAATTTTCACAACACCCAAATATGTAAGAAGAATTGTCACTCCCTTTAATTAGATGATTGAGGTTCAGAGAAGCAATGTGACTTCCCAAGTAAGAAAAATTAGGATTCAGTGGGGTGGACCAAGTTCAATGCCAATTTTATTTTATCAGCATGTGCTGCCAGCATGAATGCTTGGAAAGAAGGGGACAGAGCAGTATGAGGCAGGAATGGGAGGGCACACAGAAGGAAAAATGAGAGGGTACCCAAATCCACAACTTTATGCATGGAATTAGATGTTAACTAGTGGAATCCCTGAGAATAGACCTGTCATTATACTCAACTCACCTTTGAAAGATCATGCAAAGGATAGTCAAGTATTTAGAATATAAGAACCAAGCTGATGTCCTGACAAGAGAAAAAAACTGTGACAAGCAGAATAAAACTTAAAAGCCTGTAACAATTTGGGTCTAAGTGTAGATACTCATAGTGCTCCCTCCATATCCTAACCTGCCTTCCTATATGATGACTGAACAAAATAGCCAAGCTATAAAAAGATAAAAAAGTAAAATATATTCATCATATCTTATCAAAGGTAGCAGATATGTTTTAATACATTTTAGCAATAATCATGCCTAAAATTGTTTCTAAAACCCATTTTTATTCCAATTTCCTGGGCAATTTGATGGCAGACAAAATTAGGTGTTATTGTCATTAAAAAGTAATTCACTTGCATAAACATTATTAAGTGCCTAGGACCAGTGCGTCAGATCTCAAAGTCATGGGATACCCTTTTCTGCTACGCAAGAGTGAGCCATTAAAAACTCAACTTGAATTTTGTTTCTGTGCATCAGGTAGACCTGGTGGAACTTTTCATTGTATGCTACGTATGTGTCCCTGGAGCAGTAATAGTTCCCCTTTCCGTCCTGGAAAAAGAGGTAGAAACTCATCCAGAAGGAATAAAAGACATTGTCCTAACTACACTGCCAGGATGGCAAAAAGAATTTTGTGTTCCTAAAGTTTGGAGCCTCCTCCTGGGGAGAGTGAATGGCTCTCTCTTTGTCCTGAAAATGCAGGCCTTTCCTCATGGTGCTCAAACTCTTGAAGCAGAAGAAGTCAGAATGGGCTTTTGGGCTTCAGGAAGTTAAAAGTGAACAGCTGCCTGACCCTGGAGAAAATCCCAGGGACTGGGAGTAAATTCAATCACGTCTTCTGAGTAGGGCCTCAGAGGGGGCACCAGGAGTCCTCCAGGATTGAATGGGAGAGAGAAGGTCCTGGGGCCCAGGTAACAAGCACTGGCATCGGAGGCCATACCGAGTGACTGTTACTCAGAATGGCCCTCCTTCCAAGGCCTCTGCTGGCTTGAATGGAGGCTAGACTGTGGCAGCCACTACATTACTGAGGCTAAATCACCAGAAACATAGAGCTTCAGCGCCCCTCCCGAGCTGGAAGGGCAGAGACATTGTTGCTGTATCAACAGCAAAAATACTACATCATGTCTCTCCTCTATCTGAGAAAGGCTGTTTGACAGACTACACGACTGCCTTAGTCATGGGGTTCTTGCAGAAGGAGGGAGATAGCGGTAGATGTGGTAGATGACGGAGGATCCATTTCCTGACAATCTGGTAGACTGGGGCTGGAGCCAGTTCTATTTTCATTTGAGAAGTGACTGACATTACTTCTGTCCAGAGAGCATGAAACCATTTATGTGTAATTTTTTTTTTTTTTTAACATCTCGGTAGTCAGAAGACCAGAGAAAAGGACTAGATCTTCTCATGTCTGATGTTCATAAAACCATACCATCCACTCTTATGGCTATTAAAGGAGGTGAGTAATTCTGATGCTCTTCCTCTTAGCAGTCCCATCTGCATCTACCAGATTTGACACGGTGATGCTTCCGCCAGCCAGTTAGTTAGCCAGCCCAAGATACATCAGAATAGCCTTGTGTTGCAACACTTAAAAAATCAAGTCTGGGTCCTGAATATGCCTCCAAGAGAGGAAACGTGCTTGAATTCCCCATCGTGAGAAATGAGAGCTTTCATATTGCATGGAGTACTTCGTAGTTTTTAGGGAGATTCCGAAAGCTGGCCCGCATCCTCGGCTGGCTGACTTGCTGGCTGAAACCTCACAGTGCCACATCTAGCAGATGCAGATGGGATTGCTAGGAACACTTCAGGGGACTTCAGGTTCTCAAGAGGCCTTAAAGTAAAGGACCCTCTCCTCCTTCCCTCACATGAGAAATTGGGCTCCCTTGTGGGCGTGAGTCTCTTAAGCTCATGATGGATATAATGTTAATGAGAATGGGCAGGTCCTCTTAGTTATGGTCATTAACACAGATTATGTGTTTAGTGGGATATTTCTGATGGCTGTAACCCTGACTTAAGTAGTTGGGATTTTCCGTAATTGGCTCCCTTATGTCTAGCCTCCCAATGAAAGGAGAAATCAAAATCCTTTTCAGGTGGTTTGAGACTCAGTTGCCGTCCAGCTATGTTCTCTGATTTCTCATAGGTATTGTAAAGCTCCTGAGAGGAATAGATGTGGGACGAAAGAGAGTTACATTAGGGACCCTCCTATGGGAACAACCTCAGCCCCCAGAGGAGGCTATTTCTAGACTGTGGAACACCCTCTTCCAGCCCCATGCATACAGTGGCTAGGCTGGACCAGCAACACCATACCCTCAGAAGAAAGCAAAGCACCCACCTAGATGTGTGAACTGCCCCAACAACTCAACACCTTTGCTCCCTTTAAAAGATGAACCTCTTGGGGCGCCTGGGTGGCTCAGTGGCTTAAAGTCTCTGCCTTCAGCTCAGGTCATGATCCCAGGGTCCTGGGATCGAGCCCCGCATCAGGCTCTCTGTTCGGCAGGGAGCCTGCTTCCCTTCCTCTCTCTGCCTGCCTCTCTGCCTACTTGCGATCTCTGTCTGTCAAATAAATAAATAAAACCTTTTAAAAAAACATAAACAATATAAATAAATATAATATAAATATATAAATATAATATAAATATAAATAAATAAATAATATAAATAAAAATAAGTAAATAAATAAAATCTTTTTTTAAAAAAAGTAAAAGATGAACTTCTCTTTAATAACTTCTCTTTCCTTCTCCAAGGACTTCTGTTTTTGGCAACATAACAGGCTGATCTAATCCCCCTCCCACTTCCACAGGAAAAGACATGGGGGATAAAATAAATAAGATGTAGCAGAACAAGATCGTTATTTTTTTTTAATCCAAGATCTAAAGAAGAAACCTCCCAATCCCCAGGTGATAAAATATAAACTGTAGCTCAGAGCTAGAGGACAAGATCGTGAGTTGATTCCGTGGCCCTGCTAGCTGGGGTTTTCATGCCAGTAGGGGTACAGGAGGTACGTGCTTGGGCTCAGACATTGGCAAAACTAAAACACAGATTTCTACATAAAGGCTGGATTTGGAAGTGATCCTGTCAGTGTAAGAGAGACTCAACAAATTCTTCCCACCAGCTCAGGAAGTAAGGAAGCTGTTCTCTGGTACGAGCCCAGGGAAGAAAATAAAACAAGGCCCATGTGAGAATCTGCACCCTCTTTGAATTCACACTATTTAAGGTGGGGGGGGTTGTCCAAGAATCTCAAGCCAAGAAATTAATGTCAAATGGAGTTAGCATCAGCCTAGTGTCCAGCGAATCACATGAGACTCTCAAAGGAAAAAGCAACCCTAGCGGAAGAGGGTTCACCATCAGATCCGTAGCCCCCTGCGCAAGGAGACTGTAGCAGTTTGCTAGAGGTGACGTAACAAAGTACCACAAACTGAGGGGTTCCAACAGAAATGTATTGTCTCACAGTTCTGCAGGTGAAGAATCTGAGTTCTAGGTGTCAGCAGGGTTGTTCCTTCTGAGGCTGTGAGGTGGGGTCTGCTCTGTGCCTTCTCCCTGGTAGTCTTCAGTGCTCCTTGGCTTGAAGAAACATCCGCTCTATCTCTGCCTTCATTTTCTTTTTTTTTTCCCTCATTTCATTTTTTTTCACATTTACTTTTTAAAATTAGTTTCAGAGGTAGCTTTCAGTGATTCACCGGTTGTATATACCACCCAGTGCTCATTATATCCTGTGCCCTTGTTAAAGTCCATCACCCTGTTACCCCATGCCCTTCCCCTCTCCCATAAGAATGTCTT